AAAATGAGAAGATTGAGGCCCACTCCCTGCATACCTCCTCCCTTCTAGATGCTGATCTTTCTCCTTCTGCATGAATGTCTTGGATGAACAGATCTGGCGGGTCATCTGTGGTGTCAGGGACTAAAGCGGTGATGGCAATTGTTTGCTGTGCTGTAATTAGAAATTTTCAAGGCAGCAGATGAAAACAATTGTCCCCTATAATTTAACCTGCATTTTCTGTCCATCTTGGCACTTCAGTTGTCACGGGGATATGTTGGGGTTGCCATGGTGAATCAAATGGCGTAGGTAGCTATTATCTGGTCACCTTCAAACTGTGATGAAGTCTCGGCTACATTATGAGAGGTTCACAACATGTTTTGAATAAGGCCAGTATGTCCTGGTACTAATATAGGCCTTGTATTTGTCAGAGCATGTGCTGCAGGTTCTACATTTTCTGTCTTTTCCACTGGTGGCTCAAGGAGCGTTCTGGTAAAGCAGTGATGGAGGCGAAACTATCATGATGCTGGGATTTCAACCCATGATTAATTCTAGTATTTCTGAAAGGAACCAGCAAGTGAGCACGCTCCGAGCAGACCCTTGCTTCTCACTGCAGCGCTGTGCGTCAGACTCTTGGATAATTGGCCCTTAGTGTTGTTTACAAGTTGTGCTTCTTTTGCATAACCAGTGTCCTCGCAATGACAGCCGTGCAGCTGGAGGAAGACAAGTTTTTTTTATTTTTTTATGCACTGGAAGACTACACAGCGTAAAAATAATCATGAATCTGACATAAACGACTTGTCTTGAAATTTCTAAAAACATTGACGACAAGATTAGTCTTATCTAGCTGAGCAGCACGGACCGTGTCATTAATGAAATTGGTTAGATGCTCTGCTGATCGATTCTCTGACTCATGGCACTTGTTATTAAACGATAGAGAAGATGAAGTCACAGAGGATGCAAGCAAGTCAGTGACTGACTTTATTTAGACGTTGAACCTGGACCTAACTAAAACTTTAGCAAACTGAGGGTCACAAGCTGTCACACGACTGTCAGTGACCAAGCCAATGAAGTTTGCTTAGAAGGCCACCTTCCCTGTGTCTTGGTTAGTCTTTCAGGAGGCACTGTTCGGGTTTCACATAGTGGTGGTGGAGAAACACCTACGACAGGAGCAGGAATGACCACAGAATATGTAAAAATAAACTGAAAGAAACAAGGCAGCTGTGTGACAACATGTAGATATCCATAAGGCAACAACAAACGAGGACACATGGTCCACCCAGCTTCATTATCTGGCATGCTGGGCTTGTCGTGTTACATTTATTGCTGGCTCATGGGTTATTGTTTTTGCAAGTACACCTAGATACTACTGTCCTGCTTCTCCTCATTAAAAATAAAAACATGATTTTTGGGATTGTGAACTTCAAATAGTTGCTAGAATAATGTTCATGGAGCTAAAACTGTTTGATTTGCAGACAGATTATAATAAAATAGAACAGATAGTAACACTTAACAGCTGATCACAATAACCGTTTAAAGAGCATTGTTTAGACTATTATTGAGCAGATTTTCATCAGGAACTGAGGCATATCATCAACACTAGTAGTTGTCAGATACAGTGTACAGTGGGTGGTGGTGGTGGACACAAAAAACAGTCTTGTCTTCACCATACAGGTAAATAAGCTGCCTAATCCCAGGAGAGAGCCAATAAAAGAAGAGAAAAGGGGAAAAACACAGCGATAAATCCTACAGCATAAACAACACCATTGTGTTGTCGTTTGGTGATTTGAAATAATTGGATTTAGGTTACTTTGTCGTCCACTATCCTTCATTATTAGGCATGTGGGGAGGAAGGGATTGTTTGTTTTCCCACAAAGGAGTACAGAGTGTAGAGTGAATTCTCATTGCCTAAAATGTTCAGCAATCATCGAGTCATCTGCATTGATTAGCAATCCTGTCAACTGCCCGCAAATGTATTGTGGCCAATTAATGCTCAAGGACACCCTGACTTTATTTAACCTCTATGAAGTGCACACAAGGAGTCAGCTGATTAGCACATTATCCATCAGCACACACAGACCTGTTGAACACGCTGTCAATATTAAGCTCAAGTATTACGAACTGTGAAGGCAGTCGGTCCATGTCAGGATGTTTTTCGCTCTGTAATTAATATTTTTTCAGTGTTCTAGCAGCAGATGACGGCAGCTGAGAAAAGAGCGACAAATGATGGATGATGGGAATTTAAGAGGACCCACGGGCAGGCCAGTAACGGGCAGAAAAACAGCCGCTCTCTTATTTATTTCTCTCTTTGTGCTAAAATAACACCCACAGAAGAACCCCTGGGAGGGAACAGAAGTGTAATGTAATATTTACTGCTGGTAACAAAAAGTGGTAAGTTACACTTCTGGTTATTTACTGTAAGCAGATGCATTAGTTTGAATATGTTGAATGTATTTTGTGAAGATGAGAATAAAGTTGATGTACAGCGCACTATGCAGTACACAAAAAATTGGTGTAACCACCCCCACACCATCTGCTGCAGGGCTCCTTGTTCTTCCTTAAGATGGTTCTTTGTGACTGTTGTTTGCCATTAAAAAATGTTACTCATTATATGCATCCTTGTTATATCTAGACATTTTAAATGAGTTTTTTCACTTTAAATGTCTTTGACACTTTTTCACTTCGCTGCACAATTCAGTGGACTCACAACTTTAAGAAATGAGCTGGATTGATAGATTTATTCTGGAGCGATCGCTCCAGAAATGAGAAAGATCCAAATCATTCACCAAACATGCACCGTGACTCTGTAAAGGGCAGCGCTGTCGACTGTTGAGACCACAAGCGAAGTTTTCTTTTCATTTGCCAACAAATTCTTGTGAGAAATGTGAGAACGTAGTCCCATATCTTGGAACTTTTCCTTAACTTAGTTTAGCCACATCAAAAAGTTTCCACTCAAATTAGTAAACTTCTGTTTCTGATGCCGTGTAAAAAAAAAAAAAACCTCAAAAGAGGAATTATCCTGGAGAAACCACAGCATCCAGGTGATGGAATGATGAGTGTGTGTAACACAGTGATTAAAAGCTTTAAACCAACTGCCGGATTAATGATAAAGACTTAAAGTCCTGCATGGATCTGACTCAGGGAAACTGAAACAAATTGACTGAGAGTAACACATTCATTACACTGATTGTTTCATTTTTGCAATTAAATTGTTTGCAAAATGCTGCAAATACATTTTTTCAGTATCAGAGTCATATCTTATTCTTACATTTGTGTTTTTTATTAATTACATTTTCAAAAGATGTCTTTGAATCAACTTTGTCATCTGCTATATAAAGCAACTTTTATCCCTAAAAGGGTTCTATTCGCTTAAAATTGTTTTTTTTTTACTGTTTCTCAATGGCCTTTAAAAGCTGAATTTTCTAACAAGCTTTTACACCTCGACAGGAATTGAATTATGAGGAAACTGGATGTGGAGTGAGACGTTGCTACGGCTGTGATAGAGTGGCATTATGAGATTTTTTTTTTTTTCTTTTTTTTTTACCATCCTGTCTTATACCAGGAGGCATTGACAATGACAGGCTTCAAATGCTGTTCATAAGATACTGTTGGCGTTGAGACCTCTCAGGCTTCTTTTAGGGAGCTGTGAAGCAACTGATGAGATTTTTGGAGAGTCAAAATCAAAAGCAATACGTATCTGCGTCTATCCTTTGCTGACATGCCTCACAGCAATCAGTTTTCAATGTGTGTTGTAAAATATTTTGTTTTTCCTTATGAAAAACAGAAGAAAAAATGCCGCAGGTGGAGGGCAACGGGCATATATTGTATAATCATCCCTCAGTCTGGCTTCGCCGAATTTTTCCACAAACTGTGTTTTGACTTAGTGAGTTCTACTTTGACTGTCTCACTCTACATAAACCATATTTGCATCAACACTTCATCTGCATTCCCATTTGATTTATGACTTGCAAATCTGCCAGAAGGAGAAGAGGCTTTAGAACTCATCCGATGCATTGTTTTCAGATTAATTCCAGTTTTCCAGAATTGTAACAAATCATAAGCGAACTTCTGCATACGGTAGCAGAGAACTTGTACTTGCTCTGCACCCACAGACAGCGGCCTCGTAGCTCTCGGGTCCCAAATCAGATAAGTGTCACCGTGCATCGGGTTGAAAATCCATACTTATAGGAGTTATTTTAGTGACACTGGGCCCTTTGTTTCTCTGTAATAACTATGCAGCTCTGACAACAGGCCACTGTTCCAGGCAATATTAGCATGCAGATTCTCTGGTGTAGTGCTACACCATTTCTGTCAGTACAGTGTGGATATTGTTTTGGAGGGAGGAATGCACTGGATGTCCTCTGCTGTAGGAGCGGCCCGGCTTAATGGATGGCTGTCAAAGTGGACGTTTCAGAAACAGCTGTGTTTCCATTTCAGTGGAACTAATACGACTGAACATGCACTGTTTTTGCATGGGTGAAGTGAAACATTTACCATGATATTGTAGGGAGATGGGATCTAATGCATTATGCTGGGTTGACTCTATTACATAAAAGGGCAGATTTCTGTCCAGTTTGGTGAATTTTTTAATGGTTGAGTGCGGTGTTGATGATATTATTGGAAAAAAAAATCAACGCAAGCTTCTTGTAAACACTGATTAATTGTATTCTAGTCAAATTAAGCTGACATTGTGAAAATATCCACTACAACACTGTTTGGACTCAAAAATTTAAAGGCACAGGAGGTGGTAAAAGTGACATCTGAGGAAAAACCACACAGACAAAACAAATCTTTGGAATTCATCACACACTTTTCAGTTGCTCATGTCTTTAATCTCACATTTCCCCCTTTCCCAGCCCAGCAGGTAAGCTTCAACGCAGCTGAAATGTGAAAAAATGAGCTCTGCCGGTCTCGGCTGCAGCAGGAAGGGCCCAGTCTCATCAAAAGAGCCCATTGTGCTGCTCTGGTTTGTTGTGTGCCATGCAGGCCCAAGCCCATAGATGACCCTTGTTGTTTCTGCGCAGGCCTGGGTGAGGCAGATGCGAACCAGAACAATGGCTGCGTCTCGGAGAAGCCGGCGGTGACTGACTCCACGGGCGCTGAGGGCCCCCGCCAGCCCTGGACCCCCGCCAGCACAGCTGACCCTGACGCCGCCACACCACGCCCCCACCTGGCCCGCCTCTTCTCCCGAGATGCCCCGGGCCGAGAGGACAACACCTTCAAAGACCGACCCTCCGAATCGGACGAGCTGCAGACCATCCAGGAGCACAGCGGAGCGGCTTCAGAGTGCGGGTCGGAGAGCCCCGAACAGGACCTAGATTAGGCTAGCTTTTTTTTTTTCTTCCTTTCTCCTCTCTTTTCTCCTTTTCCTCCTCTGTCATTTGCTGTCTCATTTAAGAGAGAGACAAAAACCCAACATTTGACAAATACAAATATATACTACCAACTGCTACTGTAACCATGGCATCCGCAAGCAGCTCTGCACAGGCCGCCTTCGGGCTGGGCCGGAGAAAGAAGAACCCCAGCCTCCTGGATCAGATTGGAAAGTTCTTTGGAGGGGACAAGAAGAGGAAGAGCAAGGTGAGGAAGCAGGGAGAGTCGAGGTGAAAAAACAAACCTCGACCGCCCTCATGTATCTCAGTTCGTTGTGCTTTTTCACTCCCAGAACCACTTTTTATTTCCGATTCTTTAACATATATTGTAAGAATTTGTTGCCATATATTTGTCGTGTAGAATTGCGTTGGTTTTGCTGTTGTTTTTATGGTGAACCGAAGTCTGACATTGTCCTGCGATTCCCAGTAACTTGCGGATAATGGATCGACACTGGATAATGACTTTGGGTGGGGTTTGTTTTATATTTTATTACAAAGGCTGTGATTTTTGAATCATTTAGGATAACTTTCTATATTGGTCTGTTTTTTTTTTCTTCTTCTTTTATTTGAATGGTACTGACATGAGTAGCAATTCGTCTTCGGTTAAATTTAATATATCTGTGGATGTGATGTTCTGTTGTTTGACATGTTGCTGCCATTATGCTGTTTGTTTATTAGAACGTTTATCAAACTGGAGAACAGCAGTGTTTCACTTCAGGTACTTCTATACATTGGGGGAATTCATGTCTGTATCATTAAAATGCAACACTGGTAGAATATTTAGAATTTCGTGGAGGCATTGGATAGTCTGCAGAGAGGTCATGCAGCTTCTTTGGAGAGTCTCTTTGGTTTTCTCTGTTTCGAGGGTCACTTTTAAACATGTGTGATAAGTCAGCCACAGGGAGGTACCTCACTGTTGTTTGCACGGTACCGCAGTCTGCTAAGTCACTTTGAAAGTTATTGATCACATTATGCTATGAATGATCAAAGAATTGTATGGTGTACATGAATATATAATGATGCATAACAGAGCTTATTATCATCCCCTGTTTGGGAATATATAAAAATCTACATCCTATAAAGAAACACCAGGCTTACCTTGCAGACAAGTGGTTATAAGGTATTTGAGCCTGTATTGCTTTCTAATTACTTTGTGCTGTAGTGTTGTCAAGATGCCAGCTTTCTGACATTTAGAGACATATAAAACCAGTCGTACCAACTGATATTGTTGGCAAAAGTTCTATATGTCCTCCTGGGTCTAGTCTGTCCATCAGGTTAGACAGAATGGGATCCACTTCCAGACATGATGGACTGCTTTGCACTGTTGCCACAGCTACTAAAACCCAGACTGCTCAGCTCTGCTGCTTCCACTCCCTTTCAGTCCGCTCAGTGATGCCCTCTGGAGGCGGGGATGAAATAGAAAGTTCAGCTACAGCAACGAATTCGGCCAAAGCACTGAGTTCACAACCAAACTGATGTTGGCTGTCCTGACAACACTACTGCAACAAGCTGAGCCTAAGCCAGACAGCCTTTTGTAGTTTATTCAGGAAGAAGAAGTGGTAGTGTTCTGGATCCGTGTGTTCCATCATGAGTCACATCTGCTCGCGGTGACAGCTGTCCTAAAACATTACTAATAACTGTTTAAAAGGAAAGCTATGGAACAGCGAGCTAAACCCTGTGGACAAAAATTCTCTGATTATAAGCTGTTTTTTTGTTTTCTTTTCCCCTCTGTCCACTTTTCCTAACCCTGCAGAGTGTTAATCGGAGTGCTTTGGCTTGGTAACTGCAGAAAAATGTCTGAACAGCATCTAAATATGCATTTCCTTCACGCCTTATAGCAACTATGAAATAGTATTCTATGTAAATTCAGGATAAAAATGATTTTATACATACGTATATATATATATATATATATATATAGATAGATAGATATAGTCACAAATCTCTGCTTTAGCCTGTTCTGCTGATCAGATATTGTATTGCTTTCAAAAATAATCAGGGAAAATATCAACAGAACAAATGATGAAGCTTTCATTTAACATCGCGCCAGCTACCAATTAGCCGCAGTATTTGAATTTCTCTTCTCTTTTTTTGCCATAAAATTGTGCGTTGTCCATATTGATGACAAGTTTACTATAAACAAATATGTACAAATATCTATATTTATGTATTCACCAAGGATTTGCCTTCAAATATCAAGTGTTCACATCTCTAGTAAATAACAGACAAGTTCGCCCCACCTATGTTGCCTCTAGCAAAAAACAACAACAACAAAAAAAAACAACAACCTGCACTAACTTTCTGCTGCAAACACTTATTTTTTCAGAAAGAATTCATCATGAAGACAGCTATTTTTGGCATAACTTTTCTACATAGCCTACCTGTCTGTGTGCACAGATTCTCTACAGATACATAATTCATCATTCTTGGCTGCAGTATTACAGTGAAAGATTGTGTCAGTGTTTTGCTTTGGATTGAGGATGTGCATGCTTCTTTCAGTAATGTTGTTTTGATACTTGGCAGGTGTGGAGTCATTTACACACTGATCCCTTGTGCTTTTTCATGTCTTTGTCTGTTTTATTTCCATTAGTTTCAGTCTAAGCCTGAGTTTGGGCTTTTGGAAAAATGTTAAGAACAAACGCAAGACACGTTTTCAGAAGTTGTGACGCCAAAAAAAAAAAAAAAGACAAACTCTAGTCTCAGGACACAAAACAACTGCAGGAAATCTGCATTGGAATGCTAACAGCGTTTTGATAATTTGTAATTACAGAGATAATGATGTGCTAATTGAAGGGAAATTAAGTTTGCATGAACATTAGCTATTCTAGCAGAAATGATAAATAACAGAGAATATTTTAAGTCTTAATTTTTGAATGCCGCATAAAATCGGCCATATAATGGCATGCAGGAGTGATTACTGTTTATGAGTCAGGCTTTTAGCAGAACAGCTCGCGGTCAAAACCAAAACTTTTGTGATACTGTAGTTTAACCCCCAGTGTCTTGGATGGAGGAGGTGGGGGGCTTCGACACCCCCTCTCACATCAGTTTGCTCACCTCAGGTTCACGAGTCTTTGACCCAGTCGGGGAGTTTTCTTTGAACCAGCAGTGGATGGGTGTTGACCCACTGTTTTTGTAAACGCCTTCAGCTTTGCGGTGGACACTTGTAACTGTTTGGATCTGTTGTGACCAGTGACCTGTTCCTAACCTGATCCTGTTCTAAGCTTTTTTTGGATTATTGCTTGATTAAAAGTCTTTAACAACACCCTCAGCGCTCATTGTTGTATTTTTGTTTGTTTTTTTTTTTATTTCGTTTGGCTTAACGTCTGTCTTTTTGTTCTTCTGTTGTAAATGTCAAATCATATTAACTGCTAATACTGATGACAGCCAGCCACTTGGATTTATAATTACTCCAGTTCTGAAGTGGTGGCTTTGTTTTTTTTCTTGTTAATTTAGCTCCAAGTAAAAAAAACATGTCTCCGCCTGTAAGATTATAGACTTTAATACCAATTAATATTCCACAGTTGAGTCAGTCAATCAAATAGACCCACTGCAAACTAAAAGGAGATGGTTTAAAGTCACTTTTTGGTCATCTATCATAGTCAAAATTAAATATTCTGAAGTTTTTAAACAATCCACTCAAGCCTTTAAATGTCATACCTGAAGCTCTACGGTTTTGAATATGCAAAGGTTCAACGCTTTCTCCACCACTTGGTGCGGCTCGAGTTAAGCTGTTCAACTTTGACTCTAAAACTACTCAACTCTACACAATGACAAGTTGTAATATAGGAGTAACTCAGCAAGACATGTTCTAACTAGAAACCGAATGAGGCACAAAGCCCCACCCTACCAGCTGGTTACGCAGAACTGCTCAGCCACGGTACCGACTGCTCGTCCTAAAAACACTCACAGTTAGTCAGCTAAAAGAGGGTGGAATATTGTATAATAAACACAAGCAGATGGTTCTTGTTTCTCGGAGACAGGAATTGAAATGTATTTATTTGCCACATTTGTAGAGCGTCTGTCTAAAGTATGTTAACGGGAACAGCACAATGTGAGTTGAAGTCATTTCTAATTAAATGCTAAAACGTCTTTTTTATATTTGTCACTCGGTTGTACAGAGAAACTGGTGTAGTCAGGCAGAAGAAATTATTACTCAATGAAAGTCCAGGATGTGCATTTTAGTGTAATTTAAATGCAAACTGGAAACGACTGATACTGCAAAATTAATAGGAGGCCTGCTAAATAAGTCACACATGAGAGAAGACAGTGCAACCTCAGTGGCTTGTCAGTTCAACAAATTAAAGTGTAAATATTGCTTCCTTTGTGGCTTTGGATTGTGTTCTAGTCAGCAGAAAACATTACATTTAAGGATTCTTATGGGATTGTTAAAGAAATATTAGGTTGGGTACAGGGACTGAACATGTTGCTCTAAAAAAAATGCACAATCTTCTTCGCATGAGTGATTAATGTAATAAATTTTGCCAATAAAAAACATGCTCTCAGAAATGTGATGGCACCGCTGCGGCCCAGGCTGCCTCCTTGTGCAGCTCTGACAGCTCTTTACCGCTATGTTCTTCAAAACATCTATTCTAGTCAACACCTACTGGGTGCCAACAGGCTGTAATTAAATCAAGGTAAATGGAAGAAGGAAGTTTGGAAATAGTTTTCTCCCTTTCTAGCCACCGAGATACCTGAATTCTAAAAAAAATAAAAATAAAAAGATCTGGAGATACATCAACTCAATTCTTGATAATTATTAAATATAAGTTTCAGAGATGTTTAGTGTCAAGTGGGTGCAGTTAGTCAGATTTCTGAAGTCCTATTTTACGATACTCAAGATAGATTTCCAGATCCTGGTTTTCTCTTTGCTTTCCTCATCTTATCCACTTTGTAATACACAATGATCTAAAATAGAGTTTACAGCAACATCTGAGTAATGAACAGCTTGCAGGGAAATACACTAATTTGGGATAATTACATGCAAAAATGTATCCCGTTCTTATGTCTGTACATTAAACTGAAAATAACGTACTTTGTTTATTTATTCATTCATTTCTAGGAGCAGGCAACATTGGCGTTAATTTAGAGTCTCTGGCCACCTGGCAAGCACCGACTCCTTTTAGCTCTGTTTTGGTCTCCACCAACTAGTGAGAGAAATACCTGGCTCTTCAACTGCCAATTGCTACTAAGACTGAAAGAAGATGGAAGATGCAGCAAGCCTAGCTCACCTGTTAACATGTTTTACAATCCTTTTGCTAAGCTAGTCTAACAGTCATCTGGTTGTACTTTCATATAAGCGTGGCATCAATGCTCATGTAACTCGTGGCAAGAAAACAAATCAGTTTAATTCTCAAAATGTCGCACTTTATGACAAGTACAGCAGTTCAGAGTGCTGCAGCATCATGGCTAATGCACAGAGAGAAGGGTATTGAGTACAATCATATTGCTTAATTCTAAGTAAAAACAGCTTTGACTCAAAATATAGCCACTTGGAGATTTAGAAAGTAAGTTGAGGTTATATGTATTGTTACATGAGTAAAAAGTAATAGAAGAAAAAGTGGTTCGGATGAGCAATGACAGTAACTGTGGTACATGTGGAGATAAGGTAAGAGAAGCAACTGAAATCTCAGAAAGCAATGTCAACACTTGACAATTTCTTTGCCTGGCAGACAAGCAACACAAAGAAACACACAAATGCTATGTAACAGTCGGATAAAAATGAGTTTTTCTTTATCTCCTGCCATCTCTTTTTCCTCTCCCACACACACACATGCGCTCCTTTCTCCAGAGACATTGAACAGGCATCAGGGATTGTTACCTCGCTCATTTCAATGATATTGCTAAAGTAAAAATGGACAAAATACTTTGAACACTTACCAAAACAGCTTGTTACTTTAGCAACACATTTATTTCAGCCTCCCTCAATGTCACTACTCATTATCGGAACGCCTCTGTCATCATTAACAGCGTACAGAGATGTTTCCCTTCCCACAATATTCACATGAGAGCAGGAACTAAAATTATTCATCTTCATCTTTTTTGAAAGCTTTTTTTTTTTTCAAATGGAAAAATATATGGAAGAATAGGAGAACAGAACAGAGAGAACAAACACAGAGCGGAGACTCATTTACATCAAAGGGGAAACTAGCTGAACTTGAGACTATGAACACAAATCCAAAAGAATTACTTGATCTTGTTTCTTCTCCCACCCCTTTCCTGTTCTCCCTCAATACAAATTGCAAAGGCGACCCTCAACTCCTTTATATGTATGCCTCCATTTCTAGTCAGTCCCAGATTTGCAGAAACAGGCATGTTGGCATGGACTGATGCAAGAGGACTTCATTAAGGAGTCACTACTGGTGCAAAACATATACTCACACCAGTGAGAAGGGAATGGTTGAAATAGTGGACCAGAGGAGGGTTTTTTTTTTCTTCACAAAAACCCATAAAAGACAGAGCGAGTGACACCACATGTTCGTCATCTAACGTAATGGAGGTGTGCAGCGAAAGTTCCCCCCTTTTCAGTTACCTTAAAGCTCTTTGATGTGAGGTAATGGATGTGAATCATAACACTGCACATTCAGAGACACACATGTTGCATTAATGGGGTCACAGAAAGGGATGAATGAGCTGGCATGAAGTGAAAAGGTTGAACATACTGAGTAGGTGGAAATGAGAATGTGTGTTTTTCCTCCTGTGAGCAGGGTTTGTTGGTAGTGCATGGTATTAGAGGACTTACACTTTTCACCTTTTGTGTCTCTGTAATGTTCACCTGAGATATGAAAGGACTTCCTCTTAAACGTTCCAGAGTTCATACAAGTCAGAGGATATCGACCTCATTAGCATTCATCTTGACGTACGCTTTGTAAGGTATTATTTTGAAGCACTTGGCTGCATTTATTTCCAGTTTGAGGTAATAATTAGTCATCTTTTAGAGGATCAACTCATTGAAAAGAGAATAATGACAGCTTCCACTTTTAATTTGTACCGTTTTAATCTCTTTTTAATGGCTCATGGCCAAAAGGGTGTTGCAGGTAAAGATTAACCTTCTTTCAAGGGTATAGAAGTCCACACTTTATTGCAGTGGAGTACTTTAAATAGCTTTGCTGAACGTGTTGAAGCAGACGGTGGAAGCTGCCGAACTGCAATGGGACCACATTTAAAGTAAGTAAGGTCCTAAGCAAGGAGTTTCTGTAATTATAGTTGTTAAGCAGCTTACTAATGCGCAAAAAAGCATTTGGAGTGGGCCACACACCCACTGCAAATGGTATTTGTCCAAATGCGTTGTCATCTAATCCAAAAGGCAACATCAGGCATGAAATATATCCTTTTCATTTGTAAATTCTTGGTATTTGTTGTGGGTATACTGCAGAACTTTGTGATTAAAATACCAACTGGCTGGACCACCATTCACTTCTAACTAGAACTATGACATGGGCAATATGTACCTAAGTTATTGTTATCCTACGTTATTGCACAACTTACTGATTTAAGACTCAATTCAAAATCAAATATGAACATTTTAGCTATGTACTCTTATATACGCTGTCCATTTGTTCGTTTTCTTCGGCCTACCGATAGCGGAGTTGTGGTGGCAGCGTGCCAAACAGAGCGTTCCAGCAACATTTTCCAGTCCCTGATGAGGGATCCCAAATCATTTCCAAGCAAGATGAGAGATGCAATCCCTCCAGTGAGTTCTAGATCCACCCTGGGTTCTCCTCCTGGTTGGATGAATCCAGGAAACCTCTAAAGAATGGTGCCCAAGAGGTGTTCTAATCAGATGCCAGAACCACCTCAGCTGGCTTCTTTTGCCATAAAGGAGCACCAAACTCTGCTTCAGGTTCCTTGCCCTACGGAGGAAAATCATTTTGGCTGCTTGTATCCACAATCTCTTTTTTATTGTCTCTACCCAGACATCATGATCATTGGTGAGGGTTGGAACGTAGATCGACTGATAAATTGAGGCTCTGTCTTCCAGCTCGGCCCCCGCTTCATTTGCATTATTACTGATGCTGCACCGCTTCATTTTTCCATCGAACAAGATCCTGAGATACTTAACCTCTTTCGCTTGGGGCAGCAACTCACCCCAAACCCAGAGGGAGTAATCCGACTTCTGGCAGAGAACGACGGTCTCAGACCTTGAGAAGCTGACTCTCATCCAAGCTGCTTCATGCTCTGGAAGTCACGGTCTGATGAAGCCAACAAAACCATCACAGACTGGACACCCTCTTCAACCCGGCTGTTCCTTGAGATCTTGTCCATGAGTATCACAATTAGGATCGAAGACCTCAAGCAATCAAAGTGAGAGGCACAAAGTCGAACACATTTCCAATCATTTTGTACTTATGGTGATTTTCTTTCTCTTCATTCAGGAGGTAAGTACGACCCACATGCTGGTTCATTTTAAGTACTGATTGCTGTAATTGGAACTGGTATAACCTTTATTTTTAAGTATTTGACCACGTATCACGTCCTCAAGACTTCAAGTTGCATGTCAAATACGTTTAACATGCAGTCTATCGTTTCTTTCCCCTCCTTTTCTTTTTATTTATTTTTTATTGCAGGGCTCTTTCCGAGGTGCTCTCTCTCCAGGCCCTCAGAAAGCCTCCGCAACCTCCCCACGCAAGCGCGGAGCAGAGAACGCCGTGGTCCATTTCTTCCGCACGATCGTGAGTAATGCTTACCTCTCTGACACTCACAGGCTGCTAGGTCAGGCGAGAGCTTCAGCTCTGTTGCTAGTGTGCCCTTTTTCTTCCACAGTTCTTCCATGTTTGTCTCTTTGCTCTGCTGTTCCTCTGATCGCTCACTAACTCTGTCAAAAACCTCTCTGTTATCAACACTTCTTCAGGTGTCCCCCGCCCCTCCCAAGTCTAGGGTGAGTCTGCTTTCTGTTGTTAAGAAATTGCAAAGACGCATGAATAGATAAGTCAAAAGTTGAATAAAACCCCTTTAAGAATATCTAGAAACCTCTCCAGGCTCTGGTGAATCCAGGATTTACTGACAGTATCAAAAGATTATTTCCTGTGAGAGTTTAGGACAAACTACCAGGAACTGAACCTTTGGCATGTTTGAAAACTTCTACAGCAAGATACTAAAACTTTAATTTTTTTTTTTTTTCATTTTGAGGAAAAAAACATTAGCCAAATTTAAAATCCAATCAAGAATAAGCCAGAGGGTTTTCTTTGTCATTGTTTCAACTCAGTTTTCCATTAAAACCCACATTGGGTAATTTAAGTCGGGTGACATGTTGACAGCAGTTATCGTTTCAACATTTCATTTTCATCCAGTTTTTCAGGTGTAATATTTGATTTTAGTGTTGTATTGTACTTATATATTATTGGTTTTCTACTTTTTAGGCACTACATTTTTGATGTTATGTCTTTTTGTTTTTCTGAACAATATCTAGTAGAAGATTAATAGATAATTAATAATTCTGTAATTAATAAAATCACCATTCATTATTGGATTTTAGCAAAGATAGCATTTTAATCAGAAACCAGTCAATGTAATTGGCAGATTTGCAACAAACTGTGTTCAGAAACATACAACAAACAAATATTTCCTGCATTTTGACAGTTAGTTTCAAACAGTAAACATGCTGTATGGTTTGTGTGTTAGGCTCTGCTGCTGTTAAATGTTACTAAACTTGTGCTCTTTCCAATGTGAGCATCTGCCTTGCTCCTCTCTCCTCCCTCTCCCGACATATTTGCTCCCCCTCCATCTCTGCTCCTGCCTCCCCCACTCCTCCCTCCTCCGTGACCCCGTGACTCCTCCCCACCCCCCCTCCGGACGGGACTCTCCCACCTGCCTCCTCTCCTTTTCCATCCTGCCTTTGCGCTGAGTAAGTTTTTTCTATTTGTCCCCCTCTCCCTCCTGCCTTCTTGTCCTTGTCTCTTGTTTCTCTGCACATCCAGTGGAGAGGACTAGCAGCCAAGATAGGCCTGGTAGGTGGTTTGATATCCGCAAAAAAAAATTTAAAAAAATCAAGGAAGGTATCATGCCTAATTAAACATGAAGGTGAAAGCGAGGTCGTCATCTCCAACTGCCTTCTAGCACGATGCCTGCGGCTCTTTTTCCATTTCCATCAACCACTTAGGCCTTCGTAATCTGCCCATACATCAGTGATAACGCCCTCATTTCCTCCCGACTGCAGCCCATTTCCAAGTACATCATACCCATTTTGTGACTTTGCAGTCGGACTTATCCATATTATACACGTATATTGTATATTCATGATAACACAGGCCTTACTCTCATATTCATTAGCCTTGTTTCATTTCAACAGTTCCTTAGTGGCTGGCTGAAGTGAGGCTGCCTTCTGCTTCATTTGGCAACATTATCAGCACTTAATCTAACGTCCTCATGCATGTGTGTGAAGCAGCAGAGGAGGTTGTTGTGGCTAAAAGGGGGAAAAAAGACTGTCTGCTAAGGGACTGTATAAAGACTATTGGAAAGGAGGAAGAGGTCAATAAAATGGGAGGGCTTTATAAATCTGGCTGAAGGTTGGCAGGATTTCTGAGACTTATGTCAACCTTTTCTTGAAGCATATTTTTTTATCATAATATGAAAAATGACATAAAATAGACAATTTCTACTTTATTTTTCTTAGTATTGAGCATTGGTCGATCATTCCATCTCAAATCATCCATTTTTTGCACAATTTCCACTCCACTATTTCTGACTTGCTTGACATTTTTAAAGCATAAAATGGAGGTATTTAAAAAACGTGAGACATCAAATACTTTTCAAATAATATGTTTTCAAAAATTGACCATCGACCCACTTTCAGCACATTTTGTTTGTACGTGAAATTCAAGATTTCTTTTTAACAATATCTCGGAAGCCGTTTAAGACAAAAGCCTGAAATTTTCACTGTCATTTCCCAACATGCCATTGATTTATGCAATACTGGACAAGTAGATCAAATAGTCTCTGGCACAGAGGTAAATTGCTGTCAAATCAGCATTAGCATCACTAACATCTAGCTTACCTGTCTTTATGTTACCTTTCTAAGTGTCAATACAAGTTTGAGGTGGTCCAAGCTGTATTGCTAAAGTTATATACTGCCATGTGTTTCCTTTCAGACTCTGTTTTGCAGATGAATTCTATGTGGTTTAAATAGTAAAACTGTATTAGAGAAAATTTGGCTTCCCTGCGGTTTTGGCGAGTCTTGAAAAAAAATCCTGAGTCCTCTTCGTCTGAGGTCGAGCCAAGACAGAATAAAAATGCAATCGATTCCAAAAGTGGTCTCAAGACCAAGAGCAACCTGAAGTACTAACACAAAAAGTCAAACACAGTGAAGAACAATTAAACTTTGTTATATTATTTTGACATGTTGCAGGTGATCCTTGTTTTTTAAAATAATGTGAAAAATAAAGTTTAGCTCCTGACACCATTCCAGTAATTTCCATACAGTTCCTAAGCACTTTTTTTATTTATTTTTTTTACAGGATTGAAACTGAAAAGCAGTTAATATAGTACACTTCTGTGCACATTTGAGCATTTCTCAGCTTTTTCACTTGAAAAGATGAAGTCCTCTGAGCATGTAAACTTTTTCATCCAAGTGTCAAGTGGCTTACATTTTGAAATGTATTAAAGTTTCAAACCAAATCCCGATGTTTTCAAGTGCTACCATTTGGCCATGATAATATGCAGGTACCGTAAGACTAATTCATGCATGATTTCAGAAGGTCAAATGTTATGCTACAAATTTCCCTCAACAGTAGAAATGCCTTTAGTGGTTTCCAATCTTTTGCTGCTTAGTAGCTTTTCTAACTCATGCATATTTAAAACACTTGGATGAGAACGTTGCTTTAAGTGGAACACAAGTATAATGAAGTGAGGTTGAATGGTACTGCACATTAATGGACATCCTTTTTTTTTTTCTCGATATTTGGGGTTATTTGAACTACTTCCTGCAGCAGGTGGTCTTTACATTCTCTCCTCTTTTTCATTGCTCATACTGAACTGAAAGAGAATCTAGGGCTCTTTGTAGAAAGGTCAGCCACATCTTAAACCTTTGACCAACGTCTTGAAGGTTCTTGAAACAAACTTGACTCATTTTCTCCTTCTGTCAGGGCCCCCAGAAAGCCAAGAAGGCCAGCGCAGGGGACGGCAAAGGGACCCTGACTAGGATCTTCAAAATGGTAAACAAAAGAAAAAATGTTAAAAAATTCTTGTTGTAAACTTTTAAAAGTTATTTCCCAGAGGCGTCTCCACAATGCCTCCCTTGAATGAAAATGAAGTTGCTCCAAAAAATGGAATTGTTGACTAATGACTTTCTTGCCCCGTTTGTTTTTTCTGTCTCAGTGATGATATCAGCAGCAGAGTGAGTAACTGATAAGTGATGGAAGGAATACTTTAGCTTAACTCACCGCACATCTGTTCAACCCTGATATGCTTCGAGGACATCGTAATCCCATTACTACAGCAGTTGGCGGCAGAATAATAAGATGCTTTTAGACACGAGATTGATCAAAGCGCACGCTACAAGCTTCATGCCAGCGTTGTTATAATCATGCTGAAGATGATATATCCAGATAAGGATTCAGAGGAGCTACAGCTAACATACTTTACCTGCTTTACAGGAAGGAATTGACTGCTTATGCGTAATATAATTGTATGAGTAAGCTAACATTATTATGCACTGTCATCAAACACTTGCCAAGCATGGCAGGCTCCATCAGCTGCTTTGGAGAAGCTGCTTTGTGCAAATGTTGGCAGAATGTAAAACTTATTATTTGCCCCATATACCCAAAAAGAGTTATCATTCAATGGCCTTTTTTTTTTGTTCCTTTTCTTTTGTTCTTTGAATAAGTGTTTGGAATGCCAGTAAAGTTATTGGCTGGCAAGAAAAGCAAACTTTACCTGGGTAGTTTAAAGTTTTTTGTTTGTTTGTTTGTTTGTTTTTAAAAAGGAAAGGATAAAGCTAAAAACAAACAAATAAACAAAAAACATAAATGCTTAGGTCTATAAATTACTTAAACTAGTTTAACTTGGTGAATAAAAAAATAAGAGATAATCTTCATAAATTCTTCATATTTATAATATGTGAGATTATAAGATTTATAGATGCTATAATTAATACATTTATGATACTAATACAAAAAATACAACTTGTAATGGGAAATATGTTACTTGTGTTGGCTAACTCACACAGAATTTGACATATTTTAGCTAGGTTTAGCACCAAATAGCAGAGCTAGCTGTTAGCTTGCTGAAAAACGCGTGGTTCTTTCTCTTAGGAGAACCAAAAAACAGATTTAAAAGGAGCAGAAATATTAGCAAGAAATAACACTTAAAATGACTGCTAATGTTACTCCATGTTGGCTCAAGTTTTCAATAGACAACTGTCAGCTAACATGTGCTAACATGACAATGTTGTGCTAACAGGTTGAAAAAAAACGTGAATAAACACATACAAATGCCCATATTTTGACCTACAGCTACCATACAGTGTGTTAGAAAATAATGTTATTGTTCACAGAGTCCTTATAAATACTAGTTATAGGGGTTTAAAGTCATTCATGTCATAGCTACAGTGTGTCCGCTTCTGCTACATCTGTTAGCTAAAGAGACTAAAGGTAAACTGACAGGTAGTTTCCATTAGCAAGTCAGCACATCTCAACACACTTAGGCCAGTGTTCAAATCCTGTACTCTCCACATTGTGGGAGTTTAGCTACTAATGGGCACCAAGACAGAGACTTCTGTGATGCTTCATGCCCTCCGAGTTTGTCACCTCAACTTGTGTTCACCCTTTTGAACAACTTTTCAAAAACATGTCAACTAAAGATTGGGCTTAGATCGGTGTCGACTCTGATCAGTTAAAATTATCGCCCTCGTCCTTAATCCGACATCAGCTCGAAGTGTCTCTAGTTTCTAGTTTGAGGAAAGTTTATTTGTATGTGAGAGCGTGACCTTGGAATCATGGAAATTTTGGTTGAAATTTTACAATAAAAAAAAAACTACAAGTCTGCACAGCAGTAGTAGTCATAGCTCTTCTCACAAACACACGAAATGCCAAAACTAATTGAGCACAGATGGAAGTTATGACTCTTGACCCTAGTGTGACTAAACTGAACTGAAGTTTAAAGCGCCCACATTGAAAGTTTCGGGTCATGTGGCCTGCGTAACATTCAGCCGACTCTTATATGATCATTAGCATTTACTCCAGATTGACTTTCCATTTTATAAAGAAGCTCCTTGTACACTGATTTGCTTACATCTGTCATGAAGAGGAGTGGCAGCGCTTATTGCTCCACCAGGTTTTTCCCTGTCAGGTTTTCATTAGCCAGTCCCGCTGACTATACTTTTGATTAGTTAGTTTAGCAATTACTGAAGGCAGGGAGAAATCCAAATTTCCCCAGGGCTGCATCCTTCTCTGTAGTGGCTAAATTGTTGTCACTAAGCTGCCAGAGAGTAAACAGCTCTGGATGTGACAGACATCTGGGACGCTGGCATCCAATCTTTCTGATACGGTTAATTACCGTTGACTCAGTGGCATCACACCATCACTGCTGTTTCTTCCTCACATAAACGACTCAAATGGAAATGAGCGTAAACCTAAATTAACTTTAGAATGATGTTTCGCGCTTTGTTTCTATTCATTTTCCACTTTCGATTCAAATCCAACTGCGAGGACTTACCCTCTCGGAACAGAAAATGAATTTCCAGTAAAATGGCCAGAACAAAAGCTCCGTCTGCATTTTGTGAGGAGGAGTGAAACAATTTCAACAGATTACCGTCTTAAGCAAACTATAAAGATTTGTATAATCGTTCCACCAGTCAGAATTTTCTACTCTTCCTGCTTTTTGATCTGTTTTGCAGAATAAGATGGAGGAAAAAAAAGTGTGATATAGGCTGAGAGACTGCTCATATAAACACAGAATGTCTGAGCTGCAGCTTTAACCTGAAATAGTGAACCTTCGCCTCTGAAAGGATGAAATGCCCAAAAAGTTAAAATGAAAATTGCTGGATCTGTGAAGCAATACATTGCTTCAACTCATGCAGCTGTACAACTCATTTCTTTCTCGTTATGGAGAAAATAAACTATTTTGCAAAATGATGCGCTTCCATGAACATCAGCAAAGAAACAGAAAAACACATTTGAAAGCATAGGAATGGTTTAGAATTACATATATATTTATATATTTTGTGTCTCATTTGTTGTGACATACGAAGTCAGCTCGATGAATAAAAGAAACAAATGAGTTTTCGGTTCAATAGTGCATCGTAAGAAGCAATATTGGGCATGTCAAAAGTTCTTTTTTTAAAGTCAATACAGTAAATCTGTAATCTAGTGTCTAAGTCAGACTTTCTTTCAAAAACTTTTCTTTGACTTGTTTTCTCATATTCTTGCCTTATTAAAACATAAATAAAGGTTAAACTTTATTATTACTTTTTAGACTTTCTTGGTCATAACTTGAAGTAAGAACCTCAATAATCTTTTCATTTCCACCTACAGTCACATTCTTGACTTACTGTCTCATAATAATAAAAACATGGATTTTTTTCTCACAGTTTTGGCTTAAAAACTGACCCATTTTCCCCCAATTTGAGATGTAATTGTGTCTCAATACACCAAAATTTTGTCAGTTTCTTACATTTTGACTTTTATTTCCTAGAATTATTTTTTTTTCTTCACAGATTTGATTTCATATCACATTTCTGACATCATTGTGCAAACGTTTCTCATTATTTTTGACCTACAAACTCAAAACAAATCCACTTATCTCATTATTCTTACCAAGCATCACATATTTCCGACTCACTGTCTGATACATTTCAGGTATCTCATATTTATTTTGAACACAGTTTTTTCTTTCTTTGTCGAGAGTTTACCTTTTTTATTTTGTTTTTACTTTGCTACAACTTTGACTGAAGGCTTTTATTTTTTGTTCATTTCAATATGTTTGATCATCATTGTAACTTCAAATACGTTTTCACAATTCTGACTTAATATGTATTTTACTTGTGTTTGGCTCAGCTTCTCAAAATGTGGATTCAATATCACACATTTCTGTTGTTTAATATGAGTTGACTGTGATTATTGCTAATGTGCTTATTTTGCTTATTAAGTGACTACTCTGACTTTTCAGTGTTAAGCCCTAAGAGGAGGGTTACTTAATTTAATGATGTGTGATAACAGCTTCAGGATTCATAAAATAGTTGATGAAACCTGATGTAACACAAGCTCTGTTTTTCCCTTAAGGGGAAGTGACAGTTCACCCAGACAGCTAATGTTATGTTTAGGAGCTGATGGCTCATAATCATCAACGCTGAAGACTGAAATTTAGCAGTCAGGAGTTATTGGTCACGATTACCTGTTACTTGCTATGATTGTCACTTCAGAGAAAGCTGTCAGCTGGGGTGAACACTCTCATCACATACTGAGTGAAATGACCAACGGGACAAAAGCATCGGTGTTAACCCTTTATGGGGCAAGTGACCATATTTGGTAACTTCCTTGGACGTTCAATATGTCCACCCCGTGCCTCCCTTTGAGGTTGAACAACCATGTGCACTTTGATTTAGTTTTATAGTCAATATCACTACCTTACGAAAAACGTTCCAGGCACTTTATAAACCCCTTGTTAGTGGTTTGCATTGAACTCCACTTTGATTTATTTTTTGAGATTAGTGCCATTAACACCACTACCCCCAGAACAATGTCACTAAATGAACCTGCCAAGCACTTTATAAATACTTTGTTACTGGTTGTGTACGGATCATTACCTCAAACTAAAGTGCTTCTGAATAAATGTTGAAAGTTCTTTTATTTATAATAAATTCCCCCTTTTTTTTAACCATAGACAGTCAAGTTATCATATTTGATAACTTTATTAATCTTGATTTGCAAGCTTTTTAAAAATTTTTTAAAGTCACAAATGTAAAAATATCTTGACATATCCTTCAGTAACACCCTCGGGTTAAAATTTTCCTTTTCCAATATTTCAAGGAGTGCCCTATAAAGGGTTAAGGCAAACCCGCCGGCTGCACGTACTCATCATGTGTCTTGTCTGTCACGCAGGGAAGCAGGAGTGCTTCTCCAGCCAAACGCTGAGGTCCCTCTCTACAACCCCTTCCAACAAGGGCAGACGTTCAAGAGCGACGGGGGAAAAAAAAAACAACAAAAAAAAAGAGGAAGAAGAGGAGGAAATCTCGTCAACCCTTACACTCACCGTCCCCTCCGCCTCTGTTAACACTCTAATGTCGGCTAAATCCTTCATCTCCCCAATTACTGCCCCCCCTCCCAACCCTTCCCCCAACTCCTTTGGCTGGTAGATAGCGACACAATCTGTTGCCCCCACCCCTCCAACCCTCCAACCTAAACCCCTGCATGCGTTGCGCTGAGTCTGTACAGTCATCATCACCGGTGTGAACTGTTTGCTGAAGTTGATCCTGAAGCCGCTCACATGTGCAGCCTGAATGATCCATCCACGGCTCTCTCTCTCTTTATACATATACCTGCGCTTGAGTTTCTGTACATGTCTGTGATGGTTTTCTCTAACAAAGGGTGGCTGGACCGAAGCCGACCTGGGGGCAATTGAAGGTTCGGGCCGGTGCAAGTCCGACTGACTTGACCGTCTTTGCCGTCTTACCGATGGAGCGAAAAGCCCAGGTCGTCTGTGTTTCAGAAAAGAGCGGTTTTCTGTCTAGTCACGATGTCCACGTCACTTCCTCAAAACCTTTTCCGTGTACCCACGTGTTCGAACATTGTTCTGTGACAGATTTAACATGTTTTTTGTTTTTTCTACATTACTGTGAGAGCCACTGGGTTTTCATTCAACCCTCGTGTCTGCGATGTAGCTAAGTGTCCCCGTCTTAAGTGTCATGTTGATCCATGTTTGTCATTTTTTGGACCTAAGGCTGGCTGTGGATTTTTGTGGTAAAAGTTACATTTCTTAACCTTCTAAATCATTTTTTTCCCTGCAGTAGTCACTGAAGTATAGATAATTTTCTTTTACAGTCCATGAGATAATGAGTAATCCACCTTAACTAAACCATTTCGTCTAAAAACTCCTGAATCTGAACTATGACGTTGGTGCTGCAGCATGATGCCAGATTCAGACCTTATTTTCCTGAAAGCTTTAGCGTAGCCTACTGTAGCGCTCTTCTTTGTCTTCATTCTTTCTATCTCATGCACAGCACACCTACTGTAAATTACATTCACAAAAAGCCCTCGCTCAGCAAGTGCCTTTTTCCCTCCTGACTACCAAATACAATGTGCTGTGTTTCCTTTATTTTTTTTGTGGATAATAAAAAAAAACAACAATTTCAAAAAGGTGCTCTGTGACTAACTCTGTAATGACACACTATAAAGTGTTTTTTTTTTGTTTTGTTTTTTTTTGAGAATGTGCAAGTTTTCTGTAAAAAGGAAATAGAGTCATTTGTAGAAAAGGTCAGCGCCGCCACCGGGGCTGTTCCATTCATCTTTCAAAAAAGCAGGCGTGTGTGATGTGCAGCGTTCATCCCTCCCACTGTTTGCTTGAGCCTTGTGAGTGCCTTGTAGTGTTTTATTTCTGAATGGATCCTGGGAATGAATGTAAACATCCTCCTCATCATTGTATGTATAATAAAAACATGACCAGCCACTTAACTGAGAATAAAAAATAAAAAAGTATAAAACCAAGTCTACTTTTGAAGCTTGTCATTAATGTGTCATTGGGGGGGAAGAGAAAAAAAAAACTGCAGCAAAGGGAAGCGCTGTGATGCCACAAAGGTGTGACATAGATTTTTCATAAAGCCAGAATGTGACTCACCGGCTGATCGTTATTCATGCTGAGCTTCCTGAGAGCTCATGACTGGAGCAGACGGAGCGCTCGCCATTCTGGCTCAAGCGTAATCACACAATATGGGATGCATTTTCATTTCAAGTTGCAACAATGGAAGAACAAAGGCTGGCTGGGTCATCGAAAGAGATGACTGCGATTCCATTAATTTAGTTCCCTTTAAATAACTGGGTTACAGTTTTCCATATAATTTCAGTGGTGATTACTCAACCATGAATCAGAGGTAATGCAAACAGCAGATGGACCACATGAGTATTTCCATCTCAGGAAGCTTCACACTTCAGCTCCATTACATTTCAAAGGGAAATATTGCACTGCAGTGTGTAATCATGGTCGCATTTCAGATGCTTATGAGTTGCTAACAGCTCCATCAAACACAAGTGTGTCCTTCATTCTCACATGGTTTCATTTTAATAATGATCCAACATCTCGCCAAAAATGAGAGATGACAGAAAGAAGAAGTGCACAGCAGCAGCAGCAGCGTCACGCTGGTCGTCCTCCGTATACCTCCGGGCTTTATTCGCTTTCTTTATTTCATGTGAATTAAAGTTGGATCGTTCCTTTATCCTTACTTTTTTCTATTTATTAGTGCACTCATATATAAGTTGTGTGTGATGGAGTGAAGTTGGTAAACTGATTTGGAAATATAAAAAATACATCATTAGAAGTTATCAACAATAAATAATTACAGAACCCTGGAAGGGACATGGAGAGAGAAAAAAAAACAAAACAGGGAGAGGGGAAAAAATAAAGGTATCTTATGCGAGATCTTGCAAAACTTTCTCAGAATCTTGCAAAAGTCACATCAATCTTATTAGATGTTATGTGAAAACTGTGTCTTCTGCTCAGCACTGCCTGAATGTCTTTATATTTTAGGCCGATTTCAAAATAAAATTTAATGAAACTCTGGTACAGGGGTGGGTGTCCTCCATTGTCGTTTCTCCATACTACCAAAAATACCCAAAAGTATATATGCCTACAGTTTTCTTCTTCTTCTATTGATTTGGCAGTTGGCATCAAACGTTCAGGTGCATTACCGCTACCTACCGGACTGGAGTTACTGATAGCTTTGCGAGATCTCGCAAAAGTTATTGCGAGATCCCAAGAAAGTTTTGCCAGATCTTGCAAAAGATACCTCTATATTTTTTTCCCCTCTCCCCTCCTTTTTTTCCCCTCCATGTCCTTCTGGGGCTCTGTAAATAATAGACTAAAACATTTTGTTATGGAACATCTTTATAGCGATATTACTTATGCACTTTTACTTCGTACCATTTTTAATGTAGGACTTTTACTTGATATGGAGTTTCATATTGATATATTGCTACTTTTTACCTCAGGAAGACAAGTTAAACTGATAAAACTCCAATATTTGTCTGCTATATACGAAGCTAGAACCAGTAGCAGGCAGCTTAGCTTAGCATGAATGTGTGTTTTCCAAACGTGGAATGAGAAGAGAAGGTGTTTGCAGCATGCAGGGTGTTACGTACGTACATGAAACACCAGCATGTTTCTAAGAGCCAGTCCTTTATTGCAGCAACATCAACTGAGATTGCACTCTTCTCTCTCTAAATAATCCACCGACTTGTGCTTCAGAACAGGATATTTTGTCTTCAAGTGCTTAAGCAACTTTGATAACCTCATTTGCCAGTTTCTCCCTGTACACCACACACAAGGGATTTGGAGCATTTGCATCCCCAGCAGTGATAAAACCGAATTTAAAGTAGCTGTTATCATATTTTCGGTTGAATTTGGCTTTTGTCGGCCCTCATAATGTCGCCATTATCCTCGCCATTTGTGGGCCAGTAAAAAAGCTTGTTAAAATAGTCCGTTGAATCATTTTTTGAAAGCGACCACCCACTCTGCATGCACACGTTTGACCCACATGTGACCAAAGTACTAACATTTTTATTTATTTCGGCCATATTTAAACCTTGAAAACTTTCTAAAATCTGTTTACTATACTTTTAAATTTTAAAATTAATTATTTTTGCTTGCGCTTTTTAATTAAAATGACTGGCATTCCCATTTAGGTATAGTGCAATATGTACAGTTAAGCCCAAAAATAAATCATTTATAATAAATATTTATTTGGCTAAAAGGCTTGCTCTGGCTAGAAATGGCATAAAAGACCAAAAAAAAAAAAAAAAAGGTTGGACAGTGCATTAAAAGTGTAAATGGGGGATTTTAAATATTTAGATGTAAATTCCTTTTTAAATTTTTACTTAAACTCCAATATTCAGATTTTTTCAGAGCTCATTAAATTTTCATTGTTTAAAAAAAATATACAAATACATCCTCTGTATTATTTCTATGTAACTTTGGTACCAACATCTTAAAGCAGAAACTGTGAGGCCCTAATCTACACCGTGCAAAATGAAATCTGATCCAAATCTGGTTCAAATAACAGATGCATGCATTTGGAGCCTTATCAGATACCAAAACCCTCCACAGGAGTTTATAAAACCAAAAGAGAGGAGCTTTCATCTCTCGAAACTTATCACTCTTATTGTTCCTTTGGAGGACAGTAGGTCGGCTGCTCCCTTTACAAAGGAATCTACCAGGAGTGAGTGCTTGTCCTTTGAAGCTCATTGAAATGTTGCAGGGGATTAAAAATGAGCCGTACATACAAGGAAACCTTCAAACAACTTGTGTCTGAAGGAAATGCATGGAAGAGTGGTCAGAAATTTCAGCAAGCTGTTGGACGATTATGCAAAGCGCCTATGAGAAGTAATTTCTGCTAAATGAGCTTCTAAAGGCCACTCAGTAGCTGTTTAAGAATGTTACATTTATTCATGTTTTCGTTCAATAAATGATTGAAAAAGGCCATTTTCCTTGTGGTTGTGTGAAAGTACGCAGCTTCAAACAGCAAGAAATGTTTGCTTGTCTGAATATATTAAAACAGCAACACTTTTCAGTGTACTTTTTCACAGGGCTGTCTCTGATTGGCCACTGCCGTACCTCGCCAGATGATGTTGGGCTTCAGTCCTGCAGATTTTTATTTTTCCTTTTCCCGATGACCCTGCAGATTTTGTAGGGGGTTGGTGGAATTGCCAAGTTGGCTGCGGTCAAATCAACAGGGAAGCTGAGTTTTTACATGCAGGGTTGAAATCAATTATGTATAAAACCTAAAAACAACTAATTACAGTTTTATGGGTTGTTATGTGCAAAAGCCAGGCCAACTCACTTGCTTCCAGATTTCAGGCAAAGCTAAATTGATCATCTTTTGACTGTATGTAGGTGCCCCGTGGCATTTTCTTGTTAACATCATTCTATTTGCACTTAAGTCAATGCAGTGTCCATGTCCTCCAGGTGTCATAAACAGGGTTTCTTCCATATCAAACATTTGCAGAGGGGGTTTTTACATTGCTTGCATTCTCAGCAGCTCACTGTCCTCTGCTGGTACATTGCTGTCGCTAGCAAAAATGTTTCCTCACTCACATGCTCGATGTACGCAAAACCGTGTCCTCATTTGACTCTTGGCAAACATTTTCTAAAATGACAAAACTATTCAATTAATAGAGGAAAATGTATATTATTTCATCTGGAAGCCACCCAAAATGTAGGTTCTAAACAAGAAAAAGAAATGGGATTTTCAATTAGTAGAAAAATTACTTTAATCTTAATTTATTATGGACAATAGAAAATACAACTGCAAAAAAAAAAAAAAGAGAGAAGAAAAGCTCATCCTTTGTACATTGGCTTTGTTTCATAACAAATGTGACATTATACACAAATTACATATCCAAACAATCCATGTCTTGGCGGGTCATCAGAAAATATACGCAATCTAACTACACTATTTACAAAAGGAGCTACAGTAAATAAAATGCTGCGAGCCTAAACAGAATGACAGGAAACGATGCTGACATCTTCAATCAGGAACCTCGAACAGCGTCTGATCCGCTGCAGTGTCCTCGCAGGTCATCGCTGAGCTTCGCTTACGTGTTTGGCAAAGTTCTCTAACTAAAACAAACATCGGTTGAACATGACATTTCAGTTTGAGATGAAGTATATACAGTATAAATATGCTTAAAAAAAAAAAGTGACAGATTTTTTTGTAAACCAGTGAAAAAAGAAAAGCTTTCTATCGTATGTGCTGTTACACAGCTGCTTTTGAAGCCACGACAGCAGCACAGCTGGCTGCAGCTCTCTGTGAGCAGACTAATAATGCAGAAACACAACTCTGGGTCTCTGGGGAGCTTTTTCAGCAGAGTACGGCTTCCTTCTCTTTCCAACAGAGTCAGCATTAGACACAAACGGATCTTCTGAATGGAAAATTCTCTGGGATGCCTGTGTTTACTGAGCCAAACCTCTCCGGAGGTCATGAAACTGATGACAATCAGACAGGAGCAGAACAGATAAACGTCATTAGGCCAATCACAGGGAACCAGACTCCCCTCACTTTGCTGCTAATTTCGATAAGCAGCAGGGGACTGCTACTAGGGTAAAAGCCCTCAATATACACAGGAACACAGTTATAATGTTTTCAATCTTTTTCTAACCATATACCTCCTGTGACAGGAGGAATATGTTTGGCAAAGCGTTGCTGTTTTGCAGTAAATCTATCAGTGCTTAGTACGCGCTACAGTGCTTTTTGACTCTTGGGACTCGCGTGGATGGTGCTCAGTGGAAGACATTGTGCCAGTCTCCGGATGATTCAGGAACCACTTCCAGGTCAAGTTCAGGCGTTACCTCGACCTGGGGCGATGGGTCCTCCTGGCCCAAGGACACGTCTTGCATTTGACCTGGAAGGTGAAAGAGGGAAAGTGAGAGGGGCTCTGACTCATGACTATCCTCCTGTAAAACGCTCCTTGGGATAGGCAATAACAAGAGGATTTTAG